TTGTAGAACTACCCTGAAAGACTTTCAAGGCTGTCAGTTGGCTCATCTTCCTTCCAGGGGGCCATTGGTAAGTTGGAACCAATTACCTCTGGTTAGTAGCCGAGTACTTGAACCAATGTGCCACCAAGGCTTCCTTTAGAAACCTAGAAGGAGGGGGGAGCCTGTGTGCAGGGAAAAGAGTGGGGGGAGGGAAAAAGAGAAGACCCACATTGAAGTCCTGCTCTGTCCATGTCAGTTGTGTGACCCTGAGCAAATCACTCAACCTCGCTGAGCCTTAGTTTTGGCTTTGTTCAAATGAGGGTATTGGAGGTCTCTGGCATGTGTTCCTGCCTCTGCCGCTTCCCTTTGCCTGTGCACGGGGCCTGGCCGTTTCCCAGCCAACCATCTAATGACAACAACAACTGTAACTAGAGTTTCTTCTTACTGAGCATCCTTCTGTGACAGACCTAGGCTAAGCCCTTTCCAAGCATGGTTTTCTTTCCTCAACAATTCTATGCTATTTTAATTCCCATTTTACAGGTTAAGAAACTGAGTCCAAGGCTCTACCACTAACTAGTAAATGGAAAAGAGGGGTATGGACCTGCAGACCACCAATGCCCCCATCTCCTCCCCAGGCTCCCTGCCATCTCCCTCTGGCCACTACATGGACCTCCTACCAAATCCCAAAACTAAACTCACTGCCATGGAGTTGATTCCGACTCACGGTGACCCTACCCCTGTGGGTTTCGGAGGCTTTATGAGAGTAGAAAGTCTCATCTTTCTTCCTTAGAGCAGCTGATGGTTTTGAACTGCTGACCCTGCTGTTAGCAGCAGCCCAGGACATGACCACTACACCATCAGGGTTCCTCTGTCACGTAGCTCTAAGCATGACCCTCTCCTGCTCAACAGCCTCAGTGGCGCCCATTGCATTAGCAACTTGTTGGCCTGAAAGTCACAGCCGGTCAGTCTGGTCCCAGCTCACCTTTCCTCCTCACAACACAGTCAACACCTAGCCCAGCCTATCCTAACCGTCCGTGGGCCACTCTCATGGTGTGTGTTCACCTAGTCTCACTCATTACTGACTTCATATTTACCACTGTTCACTTAATGTTTGTCTTGCTGTCAATTCACTTTTAACTTGGGTACATTTATTTCGATGTATTAGGATCCATATGTACATGGAGTCCTGGTGGCATAGTGGGCTGTGCGTTGGGCTGATAACTACAAGGTCAATAGTTTGACCTCACCAGCCACTCCTCAGGAGAAAGATGAGGCTTTCTGCTTCCATAAAGATGTGCAGTTTCTAAAACCAACAAGGGCAGTTATACTCTGTCATATGAGATGTGGCATGTTAGAGGAAGAGCCGAGAGAAATCAGGAAGGCTTTCCTGAGGAGGTGATGTTTGGATAAAATTGTCTCAGTGACAATGAGTGAGCGTTAATGTATTAACCTAGGCTTGTGCTATGTACATCACGTCCTTACTGATTAAGATGAAAAGCTGTTAAAAAAAAATGTGCACACCTAAAAATTTCTCTCCCAGCACCCCAGGAGGATGCCCCACTTAGGGAAGAGCTGCCCATTCACACCTTGTTCACACTTTGCCCTTTCCCTGGCTAGGGGAGCTCCTCCCACACCGCAGAGCCCTGCTTCTCTGCCCTTGGGCTGTCCATGACACTCCAGCTTCCAGGCAAAGAGAGAGCCTCTCACGGCCTGTGCCCCCAGCCTGCAGCGCTGGTGAATGGGCCAGGCCTTACTCACCTCCCCCCACCCATGTCCTCACACTGGGCCTGCACACAGTAGGTACTTTAGGAATGCTGGCTAAATTGGATTGGACTCAGCCCATTTTTCTCAAAGTGTGGGGTGGACCCATGCTTGGTTTCGAGAGGTGGTTTGGGGAGCACATGGGCTCAGTGGGAATCACTGTAATCTCAAAATCTCTTCCGAGTCCTGAGGACAAGGAGGAGAGAGCCTCCGCTGGATGCTGGTGTCTCTCCAAAGCCTCCGAGTTGGGACTCTTTTATTCAAGAGAAAAGGGTCATTGGGCTGAACTCCCTCACTGCCCACCTCCCTCGGCCAGACTTCCTAATGCGCTGTGGCCGTGCCCATATCTGACTTTCTCCTGGTCAGGCTACAAAATTTCCCACCAAAATGTATTTTTTAAGTTTACAGATGTTGATTTGAAGACAAATATTAAGTAAAAGTAATTATTTCCTTATAATACATTATCCAGCCGGTGGTCATGTCAGAAGTTGTCATGATGACACTAAAACTGGGGAAAGGCAGCACTGGACAAACCATAATCCTCTTTGTGGTCACCTTCTCTGACCCGGGGCTGCCCCAGAACATTGGACAGTCTTTAGTCAAATGGCCCCAAAGATAGATGCAAAATTACAACTGTGGTGGGTGCCGTGCAAGAGAGAGATGCGGCATGTTAGAGGAAGGCCCGGGGGAAACCAGGGAAGGCTTTCCCGAGGAGGTGACATCTGGGTAAGGATTAACACAATGAATAAGAATTCATGAGAGGAAGGTGGGTGTTCTGCCTGGCTGGAACAGCATGTGCGAAGGTCCTGTGGCATGAAAGTGGTCGGAATACAGAGGTGAGACCAGAAAGGTGGGTAAGGGTCAACGTGCAGTACTAAAGACCTAGATGAGAGGATTCTACTAGGGGAAGAGTTGCCTCCCCACCCACCACCCACACCCCGCTTCTTGTAAAAGGAACTAGCCCAGTGCCCAGCCTTTGATGTGAGGACAGCCCAGTGGACGACAAGTTTCCGATTATAAGATTCATACTTGGGTTAGGCCAAAACCCTAGGTGCGATAAGCACCACTCAGTTCAGCTGTGGCTCTGGGGTGGCAGCTGAGTGCAGGCTCGGGTGTCAGGCTGTCTAACTCCCACTTCCTAGTAGGGTGACCCGGGGAGCAGGCAAACTCTGAGATCCTCAGATCCATGCCTGCTGGGTAGAGACACCAGCAGGTTCTTCTTGAGCAGCCCGTCACACCCTTCTCTAATGTAAGTCACCCAGTACCGGGCCTGCTGTGGAAAGAGCCAATTGACCATCAACCACCCCAACCTCCAAAGAAAACAACAAATCCACTGTCATTCAGTTGATTCAGGCACTGGCGACCCTATATAGTAGCAGTTCTCAACCTGTGGGTCACGACCCCTTTGGGGAGTTGAATGACCCTTTCAAAGGGGTCGCCCAAGACCATCGGAAAACACATATTTCTGGCGGTCTTCGGAACCGAGACACCGCTCCTCTATCCGTCTCCAGGAGGGTCCACCCACATGCAGATATGCCCACAAACGAGTACCCGATAAAGACTATTACCATGCTACACCATCCTACAAGACAAAATTTCATTTATTTGTCATTAGAAATAAAGATTTTACATTATAGAACTACATATTGGTTTTGTGATTGATCACTATGCTTTAATTATGTTCAATTGGTAACAATGAAAATACATCCTGCCTATCAGATATTTACATGATGACGATTCATAACAGTAGCAAAACCACAGTTATGAAGTAGCAATGAAACTAATTTTATGGCTGGAGGTCACCACAACATAAGGAACTGTATGAAAGGGTCGTGGCATTAGGAAGGTTGAGAACCACAACTCTATCGGGTTTCTGAGACTATCAATCTTTATCAGAGTGAACAAGCTCATCTTTCCGTACAGAGCACCTGGCGGGTTTGAACCGCCAACTCGGCAGTTCGCAACAATCACAGGATGACTACTTCCAAACAGCTCCAAGAGAACTGGTGGTGTGCGCCTGCCGTGCTGGTGTGTGGATGTAGGCGCCTGGCTTTGCGAAGTGTCTGTGGCATGTTTGCAAGTATATGGCCCTGTTTCTGCAGGCCGGGGAAACAGGTGGACCAGGCACATGAGAGAGGTCGTGCCCTTAGCCTGTGAGGCGGCTGGAGCGTGTGGGTGCTCTGCAGGTGTGTGAGGAGAAACATACTTCTACAGAGAACGCTTCTGTTTGTGAGGAGTGTGTGCGAGGGGAAAATCCATCAGAAACTCAATGCAGTGGAGCACAGTCAAAGAGTTAAAGCCTTGGCCGGTCTTCAGAGCCCTTTCCCAAATCCCCACCGCGCCTGCAAACGCGCCCAAGGCTCTTGGGCTTGTCTGGAGTTGGGCTGGGATTGCCTGAAAACAGACTTTTCTTTTATTCTCTGTTTCAGAAACTAGTGTGTGCACACACGCGCACATATGCACACACACATCTCCCAGAGCACCTTCTCAATGTGCCAGTCCGGAGGGTTGGGTGTGGGGGTACTGACCTCCTTGCCCGACTCCCTAGACTAGCCCCCTGCTCGCCCCCCTTGGGAGTAGCCTATACAGAGAGAATGTGCTGGGAGTCAGAAACAGCAAAAGCCACCCCAAATTTCACCCACGCTCCAAGCAGGAGGGCTCAAGGGCTGATCTGGGCGCTGGTTTGGGCCGCATCAATGTTAAGATGGAGAGCCGCAGAGATGGGGGACATGGCCTGGGAACTTGCCAGAGGAGGGGCTCCCTGTCCCAACACCCCGTGTTGGAGTGTGGGGCAGTTAGGCACACGGGTCCCAGGGCGTCATGTCAGCGTAAAAGGTGAAGGTCCACCCCAGACACCCTCAACACCCCCCGGGGTGTTCTCACAGGGGGCAGACTAGGTGGTCCAGGCCAGGGCAGGCGTTACCATGGTGACGGGCAGGCTCCCAGCGGCGGCGGCTGCAGCTCCTCTCCTGGGCCGTCAGCTGGTCTGTCTGTCCCGTGCAGCCCCTGGTCTCCACTTAGGGCTGGAGCGAGCTGGGCAGGGGCGCGCCCCCGGCCTCATCTCCGAGGGGAGAGGGACAGAGCGAGGGTTCCGGAGAGACTGGCGGAAACAGAGCGGAGACGCGGAGAGAGCAGCGGGAGCGGCGGGCAGCGCGGCCGGCCCAGGTCGGAGCGCCGCTCCCTGCGTGGGTCCGCGCGGCGGGACAGCGGCCCCTTTGTGCCGGCGCCCCCAGCCC